CAACCTGTGCCGATGGGAATAGTCTGATATGCCTTGGGCGGCCAATTTGTTTTACCACTTTGGAAAACAGAAACAGACCACCTATACTACGTCCGCACAGGAGGTTCGCGTCCGAATGCCGTTGCTGGCTACACCTCTGTTATTGTTGAAAAGTTTATATCCATCATAACTGTTCCAGACTTAGTAACATATAAATTTTGTTGACTACGTCCAGTCTTTGGATATTAGTTGGGAAAGGTTTAATTTACTGTGTGTGCTGCATACAGAGACAAATGAAATACGTAATGAATTTTTTAGGGAGTTGATATCATCTTCGCGTACTATGCGAGTGCCCTTGTGTATTGTTGGCATTCTGTTACCGTCTACCTGATTATATATGCGTTCGCGTATCATTATCCATCCTTTAAGTTTACTTTTTTAAAATCGGTGCCATCGACTTTTCTCGTGTTTTTGACGGAGATATTTATCTGAAAGATGTAAATCACTTGTCTTGGATTGTGCACACCCAGTTGAAGCAAGCTTTCGGACCAGTTCTTCTGGCGCATCTCTAACTTAGTTTACATCGTTCCAACATTTACGCTTTTCTATCGATAAATGTTCTCAAAATGCAAAAGATTTATCTTGAGAATCTCCAGGCTGTCAATTTAGTGAACTGTTGCTTTCTAACATACCTTGAGAGTCTTGCTGGCGCAAAAGCCCCTCTAAAGCATCAAGCAAACCGATTATTCATGTTTCTGACAGTTACTGCTTATTACCAACTGTCTTCAGGACATCTTTTTTCAGCTCAAGACTCAAAGGTTGTCTATCCACCGTTTCTTTCAGACGCCACGTGGACTGCTAACGAACCATACGAAACAGAATGTAGGATAGACCTTGCCTTCTAGGTGGTCATCGGAGCTTTTGCTGTAAACATAACTGCGCTCTTTAACCTCACTTTCTAAGGGAGGGAGCATGATTAATTGGTCCTATAACTCATCTTCTTTGGTTATTAGGCCAAAGTATTCGCGGCAGTGTGTACCTTCACCTGAAATCTTATTCAGTTTTTAGTTCTGCTACGTTACTGGTTGATCCCTATGGGGCTTTTGGTTGAACGCATATTTGGGTATTGAAAATACGTCGATGCCTTATGGACTGACTTTAAATTGAGATGCGGTTTAAGCCAGAGTTAAATAACACTACTTGAGTCCTTCGTTTGTCTCTTGAGCGAGGTGTCCGAGTGAGCAAAGGGCTTGGTCTTCACCTGGATAAGATCCACACAAAATGCACCATCAGCGACCTATTCAGGATGGTCGTTGAGCTTGAAATTTTTCTGTCTCCAAAATCAAATCCGAATCACTTAGATCAGCAGTGATGCAAATATCCTGCGACTGTTTGATTCTATAGGTTACATATTATCCAGTTTGTCAGTGGTCTTCTTTTGAACAATGACAACAATTTCAATGGACAATAACCAGTAGCCTTCATACTGGTGCTAGAGTAACCTGGGATACGGTACTTTACCTATCCATTCTGTATATCAACATCTCTTCCATCGCGGTTATTTTGTTTATTTGACCTCGATTGTCTTCTTTGTCTGCGTAGTGCCACGATCCTTAGCATCTCTGGTGTCTTCGTTTCCCATAGTTAAGTCCCAATTCCGAGAAAACGGTAGAGCGGTGTTGTTCTACTGCATGAAAATACATCCATGAAAGTTCTTAAGTGTTGCGACGCGCATTTCCAGAATTAGCGTTTGTGAAATGCTAAGCCTTTCGGATATTTCGTCTCATTAAACAGTTTCAAAAGACATAGAGGACCTCCAGGCATGATGTTCTACAGTGATTTAGCAAACACCGAGCCCCAAAAGGTCTTTGAACACAATTGGGACTAAATACTGGATTGCCCGAATTTCTCCACGTAGTTCTATAAAGTTTTCAGGAATATGAAGCCATTCCGACGCTGAGTACTGGATGACGAATAAGGAATCTAATAAAACGAAACTGCAAACTACACGTATGGACAATAGAATATGCAGAATGTTCCTAGATGGACCGCTTTACTCTGGACCGTTTGTTGCTTTTCCTTACGATGGAGCTTGTATGCTGTGCTGGTGATGTATGCGCTCCTTACTAGATTACGTGGTGACAATCCGAAAGCTGCCTACCTATAACTACCTGAGTCCCTTGCTACTTTTGATAATAATTTTCTTCTTCAATATTCTAGTTTGGCTGTACTTGGTATTGTTTCCTCTCTCCCGCCAACTTCTTACTCGTCCGATGATAGACTTGCTCTTCAACCAAATGAACACTTCTCGCAGAAGAGGCCATATCTCAAGTTTGAAGAGCCTAAACTTAGGAAAGTTGCCACAGCATCCTGTAAGTCTTATGGATCTGCCTGTGGAATGTTGTCACTGGTTCCTTGAGCCGAATATTTTCCGAACTCTTGTGGGGTGACCTGGAAATTCAAGATGCTGCCAGAAGGGCACACAACTTAGAATATATTCGGCACTTAGTTCCGCTTATTATACATTACAACATAGCGAAGCAGATCGCGCACAATGATGGGACACTTGAAGAGGCTTTGCGTAGTTCTTTTGCAACTGTGAAAACGAATTTCTGGTATTTTAGGAAATGTCCACTTTGGGCAGCATTGTACATCGACAGCCTGACACTTTTGGCAATAGGGCCACTTTGTCATCCCAGTTATTGTATGTATCTCTTGTCGTTCGGCCTGATGCTGAAGTTGCTATCTACATTTACTGTCGTTTTTGTACAGCGTGACACGATCCATCTCCTGTTTACCTTTCAAGTGCCACTTCTGTAGGCTATTGTAAGCTTTAATTGAAGAACCTGTTCAACAGCAATAGCCCAGGGGCCAGATAGTGAGCTGAAGAGAACAGTTATCATCTGGTTAAACAACCGACCCCTCCTTAAAAGTATTCAACGGGAGAACAAATCACTTCTAAGCCCAGGACCTCTTTGTTGATGCATGTATTTCATACGCTGTGTTAGATACCCTGCTCGATATTTTTTGGGGTCATCAGCCCTGCGCTCATCAGATGTGTTTTGCTATCCCGACTCTTAAGCATCATTCTGAGGAAACTTACGGGTGTAACAGATTTCCTGTTGCTCGTGATAACAAGACCACCAAATGGTCGAGTGGCCATCAGGAAACAAACAGACTCCAGTCCTGTATCGGTCATGGTTCCAATGAAGATGGCCTCCACTCTGGTTAGAGCGCGAATTTAATGACCGAAAGGTCCGTGGTTTGAACCTGACCTCCGTCTCTCGACTTCCTCTGTCCAGGCTTGGGCAACCTGGCAGTATCCCAGCCCTCGTGTTATTCTCGGGTGGCATGGCAGTTAGGCACCGAAAGGGTGTTACAGCTGAACGATTGATTGTCTGCAATCTCATATGGTACAGTTATGAAACTTGCTCAGAAATTTCCGTGAGGAATGGATGTTTGGCCTTGTTAGAATGATATATTACTGTTTTTAGTTTTTCTGTATAGGTACCTGTTGCCATGTCTTGATCTGCAGCGTTGGTGTCAAAATCCCTATGCTTGACCTGATTTTAGGCAAACTATTCCAATCCCTTTGATGTCACACATTAGTGCATTATTTCTATTTCGCTTCAGGGGAATAAAGATTGACCAGCTGTTTGAAATTCGTTTGCTTACAATAGCTGTATTTAATGTTAAAACGCAATTCAGAGACTAAAAGTGACCTTGGAGGCCTCGTATACTGGTTAAGTCACCATCATCATCACTGACAGTACCACATCAGTGTTCAGCACTGATTCTTCGTTACCATACGACCACATGCTATTTTAGAGTGTTATTGTGGGGAAAATGATAAAAATAGATGGGGAAGAGAGTTAGTGTTAGTTTGCCACAATCGTTCCCAGGTGACTGTACCTCCAGACACAAGTTTGAGTATTGTGAGTAGAAAATGACAGCGAGAAAGCTAAGGACATCGACTAGTGGCCATATTCTGCAACGTCTCTTATCCTATGCAGGATTGGATCACGTAGACCCCATCCTTGAAAACTAGTCGAAGATGAGTCTAGATTGTTTCCACGCCCCTTCCCCAGGTGAAAGGTTGTCACACGAACACGCGTTTAGTTCTTGACCACAGAAACAAGCTCTGCCATTACAAAGCAGCAACACATTTGAGACAGATCCCATCGGTTCGTCGTTGCACAAAGTGTTTAGCAATCCGAAATCGTATACGTGCAAGGCGGAGAAACCGCACCAAGTTGAGTGGCGGGATAGCTCAAGTGGTTACAACGTGAAGTTACTGACCGGAAGGTCCGTGGTTCGAACCCGACCTTTCCTTCTCGACTTCCCCTGTCTAGGTTGGGGCAACCTGGCAGTATCCCAGCCCTCGTGCCTCCTTCGTGTGGCATGGCAGCTAGGCATCAAGAGGGTGCTACAGCTGAATGATTTATTTATTTATTTATTTATTTATTTATTTATTACTGAGTTAGGTGAAAGTCGCCCATTATGTGAAGAGGTGGCATTCCTCTCGCGGATGTCGGTCTCGACACGACTGCATTAGACAATGGGGGGTCCATAGCTCTTGTGAGGAGTTCAATAATAAGCCTACCTGTTATGCAGTTTCATGATTGACATATTCTTTAGTGAGAGCTTCTCTACATTTCCTATCTGAAATAGAAATTTATTACCGCACCGCGGGCTACGTTGATAAAAGTCTGAGGCGATAAGTAAAAGAATTCTGTTCAAGGGCCCTTTTAGGATGACATATACATCCACGGTTTTTCCCTTCGTTTTTGCAGTACATCGTTAGGTTGTACGTACTACCGTTTAAACTGACGTCATTCACTTCATTTTAGGGACTGCTTACACTTCTGAGGAAGTTGAAGTCAAAACCGGATCAAGAAGTTCGAATCCTACTTTTGGGACTGGACAACGCCGGCAAGACAACCATCCTGAAATACCTCGCTTCCGAGGACATCACGCAAACAACACCGACTCAGGTACACTTGGTTGACTAGCTTACCACAATGCATTGTGTCTTGAAGGGATTCAATATCAAAAGTGTGCATTCCCAAGGATTCAAGCTGAACGTCTGGGATATTGGAGGTCAGCGCAAAATACGACCTTACTGGAGGAATTACTTTGAGAACACCGATGTTCTGGTATTTGGCTCGGTTGCTTAGTCTCATCTTTCAGATCTATGTTATTGACAGCGCGGACAGAAAACGGTTCGAGGAAACTGGTGAAGTGCGTTTCTGTTTGGGATTGTGTTTTGATTTAATCGCACTGACGAGGTCTGGTTTCTCAAAGGTCGACCTAGAACTCTTTATGCCTGCAAGACATGAGGTTGATACGTATGTGTAGACCTCTGCATGATGGGTATAGAACTCACGTGTCAGTATTTATACTTGAATCGAATGGAAGTAGTAGTCACTGAACCCTTGTTTAAGACATTTACTACTGGTGCTGTAGCACCGCAACTGCGATATCCCATCTCTAGGAGATGGCGTTCCCCACGGGTAAGCAGTTCGATTGCAAACGCCTTGAAAGAGTGGATCACATGATTTAATCTTCATTGTTCGCGTTCGGCTCCATAGACAAGAAGTCAATTCTGTACAGACTTTATCACAGTAGGGGATCAGGTTGCGAGAGAGTGTGAGGTTACCGCCGCACGTTCTAGGAAGGGGGGAAGGTTTTGTTTGGTTGTCCTTAAATTTGTACTTAAAGGGGTAATGTTTTTTCATCCTCTTCATGAGTGGATGATGTTCGTATCCATGGATTCCACTTCGGAACCGATTTTTAGGAGGACCTTTTCAGGCGGTTCTTGAATATTGGTACAGAGGCTAGCATTATATTACCAAGGAGATACTACTGTTAACAAGTGATCGATCACTCTTAAAATGAGTTGTCGAATGGAACCAATGTTATTTAAGGCATGGAATGCGTACTGTTCCATGTAGACGTACGTGTCACTCGTTCCGTGAAGGCACTCTGTCATATTCTAGTTTTAGAATTTAGGCTCGATATGGGTCAGCAGTTAAGGTGCGAACTAACTGCCCGGAAGGTTCATGGTTCGAACCCGACCTCCGTATCTCGACTGCTCCTGACTAGGCTTGGGTAACTTGGAA